ACCACCACCATGACCACCACCATGACCACCACCATGACCACCACCATGACCACCATCATCACCAGAATCACCACCAAAATAACCGCCCCCTCCGCCACCGCCACTGCTATTGTTTTTACTACTACCACCACAACAACAAAAATAAGGATTACTATTCCCACTATGGCAGCGGCGGCGGCGACGACGACGACAATGACGACTACTCCTTCCTCATAATCGTCCTCCTTCCTGCTCCTGCTGCTACTTGTGCTACTGCTGCTGCTGCTGCTGCTGCTGCTGCTGCTGCTCGGGCGGCACAAAAGCAGTGTCTTTGCAGGCAAAGCCGCATCGGTGAGCTGGAGGAGCATTGGGGCACCCAACTTCCCGAGCGCCTGGGCACAACGCTCGTCAGCGCTGCGTCAGGGTTAGATAGGGCTAGCCCAAACCACGCAAAGCCTACAGCAATGAGGATGGCTTTTGGGTTTTTGCTGCACTGAGTAGGTACAGCGGGCGGTGGGGTGGATCCCAATTACACGCCTGCATATATTTGAAGGTCATGTAGGGATTGCATGAGGACTGTCGATGGGCTTGAGTGTGGCAATTCCCTGAGTTGCTGATGCTTTGTGCATTTTCGAAGTTAAAGTGGAACATGGAGTATCCTCGACCATGCTTGTTACGTTGCCCCTGTTCTGTTCATTTTTTGAAGTCCAGACAAAAAGTTTTGGTCATGTTGCCTTAGTTCTCGCTACCCCTTTCAAGCCCAGACAAAAAGCCGAGACACCTTTTGCACTTTGTCTACGGCCTCCTGCCGCATCTGAACAATTCCCAGGCAGGCACAACATTAAGGTGCAGTGTTTGGGTTCAGGGTTTGCATGGGGATTGCATAGAGATCATGCCGCTGTGTGTGGTTAGTGTCTGCAGCAAATGAGCCTGTTTCGTTTCTAGCCACCGAGGATGGGCAGCTAGCTTTCAGTCTCAGGGCACTTACCGCATATTCAGCTTTTTCAACACGAAGCCGCCTTCATCTCATTTCATTCCTCTGTCGCCTTGGCCATTGTATTGCACGAAACCCTGGAGCCTGCGTGGTGTCTGGGCAAGGTGATGATGCTGTGGCATTCCTTCTCTTCAATGTAGTTCGGGCAAGAAAGCCACAATTGAAACAGCAATCACAGTTTTCTTTGTTCGTTTGAAATGGTGTTGGTCTCCGTGTACTTGTAGGCACAGATGGGAATCTCCGAAAAAAGGCATCCTGCAAGAGGAATTCCCATAAATCTGAATACCCCAGCGGTCGGAAATTGGCTACGCTTATCCTGAAGCATCGAGGGAGTTGCAACGTTTGCTGCTCCACATAGCAGCATATTCAGTCAACGTGTCATCAGCCCACGAGTGTGTCTTGAGCCAGTCTTCGTGCTCAAGACAACGCATGAGCCTGATGTGCATTCCTGACTTGCAAAAATACGGATGTCCTGCGCAGTTGCTAAGCATGCTGGCACTTTATTCAGCCAAATCGATTTTTTCAGTGGCGAGGCAACGGAAAACTATTGGTTCATCAGGCTTGTTCACTAGCTGACTAGCTTTTCAGTTCCAGCCAAAATTCATGTTCCAAGAAAGGTAGCATGAGATCTTCGGAAGTAGACATCAAACAGCCAAGATGCGCAGCAGGAGGACCCCCGTAAACACTGTAATACCCTCAGGAAGGATTCCAACTTGCACCTGTACTCTAGCGACTTTATAGTAAATTGATGTAAATTGGGGTTATATAGGGATAATGGAAAAGAAAATGAACTACTATAATATAGGGGTTATATTTGGATTTTGAAGAAATAGCTTCTGGCCAGGTCCCCTCCCCTATGGGCGGCTTTCGCGTGCCGACTACTGAGATGCGGATCCGCCCACTCCTCCTGAACGTCCCAGCATTCCCAAGATAATGCAATCATTTGATTGACCCGGGGAACATCAAATTTTCAGGGGCCGATGGGCACTGGGATTGATTCTGATGGGGTGGAAGGGATGATTACAGCATAGAAGCCTGAAGAACTGCTAAGGGGAATGCTAGTCCTACCATGATAGTGTACCATGCCTCAAACATGCTTCAAAATCTTGGTCTGCTTGTTCAGGCCCAAGGGGCCAACAGCGCTAGGCCCACTCTAGGTGTACTGTCATTGATGGAAGGATCCGGCTCGTGAAAGGCAGGGTTTAGGGGATCATATCCAGGTACAGCAGCGGGTAGAAGCTCATCGCAGATTATACTCCCGTAGAACAATCCTCATAATGATCCACGGAACTACTGACCTCCCTTCGTCATTTGTGCATCTTGAAACATCTTTCACAAACTTGCTTACAACTATCCTTATGATATCCTGAAAGCCCCTACATCTCGGCAAGATCTCTAAGAGCCTGACGTACCCAGTGATAGACCCGATGGAGGCTCCGTGTACTATTTCTACTATTACTACTTTTCTTACTAGTACTACTTACACTATTATGAATACGATTACTACTATTACTGCAATGGCTTATTATTATCATGGCGATTGCTTCTTCTTCTTATCGTCAATAGTATTATTTCTATTGTTGCTATTATTCTCATTGTTACTACCATTCCTGAGGTCACTACGCTTCCTGAAGCGAGCCGAGCCGGTCAAAGCCGTTTCAGAGCTCCTTCAGGACTTTGTGAGCTTGTAGGTCTAAACTCCTTAAAGGGG